AAGTGGGGGTAGGTTGGGGCTCAGGGGTCAAGGGCCTCGCTCCCAGGAAGGCATCCCTGCCCCACCCCTCTCCTGCCTGTTTGGTTCCACTCGGCTCTGGGGTCTCATCTCCAGCTAGTAGCACTGCACTGCGTGGCACAGATGAGCCTCCAGCAACCGGGGTTTGAGCTGCGCTGTCCACTTGTAATGCGGGTGTTTTTCAGTTAATAGCTGTGCTGGTTTTGAACCATGGTTGGGAGTCGAGGATGCGGAGGGTGGACTCTGCATTCATTGTTTTACATCATTTTATACTTGAGCATTCATAGATTTGGGTATCTGAGAGGGGTCCTGAAATCAACCCCCGTGGATACTGAGGGACAAGTAAGTTTTGGGGGAATCAAAAGTTACATGCACACTTCCCACTTGGGGGGCAGGTGCCCTTAGCTCCTGCGTTGTTGGGGGGGTTCAGCTGTGCTGTGTGTCTTCTCCCTGTCTCTCAACCCAGCTTTTCGGGGCAGGGATGTGAACCTGTCCTGCTCACTGGGCTTAGTGCAGGGCCTGGCACACAGTAGGTGCTCAGTAAACCAATCAGGGACAGGAACTGCGTGCCGCAGATGCACTAGCGGGGCCTGTGAGACAGGGGGTGGGGGGCAGAGACTCATGGTCTCCGCTGGTTCCCAGTCAGAGCTTGTTTCCAGGTGGAGACAGGACCCACTTCAGGCTGGCAGCACCTGTAGTCCACAAGGAGTGCCTGGCCCGGGGCAGGTGCGCACAGATTGTGGGCTGGGGCTGCGTCTGGGCCCAGCAGAGGGCGCCCCTGAGTGCGGTGTGTCTGGGACAGGGACAGCCAGCTGGGGCAGAGCCTTCATTGCAAAGGGGAACAGGGGCCGTTTCAAAGCTCAGGGATGATGTGGTGGCCCTGGCGGGGGTGTGGGGGTGGGGTTGGTTGGAGACAGCCGGAGGCCGGGAGGAAGGTGGGGTGAGCATCTTGATGTGAAGGGCGAGGCCAGAGTCCCGGCAGCTGTGCAGGCGCAGTCAGGACTGGGTTACAGGGATTTAGGAAGCAGCAAAGCGTGTTAAAAAATCAAGTTAAGCTCACTCTGGGTGGCTCAGCTGGTCGGTGCACAGAAGGGTCGTGGGTTCGATTCCCAG